TGGAAAGCTGTATATGACTCACCAGAGACCCAGGCTTGCCTCATACGTCTGTGGAAGCTATTTTTGGATTTTCAGACTTAATTCATTTGGGGAGTTGGGTCTTGATGAGATGTCAGTGGGGCTCTGCTTCCTCAATGCAAGTCTTTATTCTGCTGCACTGAAATATGAAGCAGGTTCCAGACTGGCTTGTGTCTTTTACACCTGTGCAATGTGGCAGCAAAATACAGCTAAAAGCATTTCTCCCAGGTGCAAGACAGGGCTGAAGTTGCTACCACCGCCATCCCTATCTTGTTTGGTTTGGTCGTTTCATTCATGGTGCATGAATGAAATGAATGAGGTTCCATATCATATTCAGAACCCAGCACATCAGCCACATTATTCTAAGTATGTTATGTATGTATGTATATATATATATTAAAAATATTGCTCAGTCTTGCTAGAGTGAAACTGTCACACTTCCAGAACAATATACTAAATTAATGAGATAAAAAGAGAGAAAATGAAAGCCCAATTAAAAAACCAATTCAACCAATGGGACTTCAAATTTATGTGCTTGCTTTGGATCAGAATGACAGATTCTCAGAGGAAGGTTTGCATTTATAGCAGACTTGTTCATCTTTCATAGTCCCCCCCTCCCCATCTTCTCATGGTCTTCTCTTCCTCCTCATAACCTACAGCCCATTCCTTTACGCATGGCACATCAGCTAGCAAATGTTGTCCCAGGGGGATTCCCAAAGTATCAGTTGGATAAAATACAAATCTCTCTTCTGTTACCGTTTAAACAACAGATTAAATAAAATGGAAGATAGCAAGGCCATTTGGGCCCATGGTATATTTTTAAATCAAGGGGTGTGTGTCCAGAGGTGGATACATTTGGGGGTTTCTAGCAGGCTTAGCACCCTCATGAGAGGAGAAGACTCCCTGGAAATGACCCTGATTTTGGGAAAGATGGAGGGCAGAAGGAGAAGGGGACGACAGAGGACGAAATGGTTAGATGGTTGGATAGTGTTCTCGAAGCTACCAGCATGAGTTTGACCAAACTGCGGGAGGCAGTGGAAGACAGGAGTGCCTGGCGTGCTCTGGTCCATGGGGTCACGAAGAGTCGGACACGACTAAACAACAACAACAAAGTTTGGCCACCTCTGCTTACTCCTCCCAGCATGGAATGTACAGTGGAATCCTATACAGATCTTCTCAGAAATAAGCCCCAGGTGAGTCTGTGTAGGATTGTATCCACAGTGGCATAAATAAACAAATAACCCCACTGATGTCTAACAACATGACACAGGAGAGAGAGAAAAATATCAATGAACTCAGAAATGCATTTCTCATTTATTTCTCAATAGCAAGTCTTTTCTGGAAATGTCTGATAACATTTTTGATATGGGATAATATTCCATCTTTCTAATGTTTTCTCTTTTTTTCTTTTTTAAAAAAAGTCAGGGATATAAGATAAATTTGATCCTGTCACTTTTATCCACAAATCTCCCTCCCGTCCTGAGTAAATGTACAATGCTAGCTTTCTGGCTTATAATTTCTACAAACACAGCCATCTGTTTTCAAGGGATTAAGTCCATTTCTTAGGCTGGAGGCCTGTTGTTAAAGCAGCATGATATATATGGCATAATAGATTCAAAGGAGTTGCCAGTATAATGTCAGCAAGCCTCTCCCATGTTGCAGCCTGCCCCTATTGACCAGAAGTTCAAGGCATCTGTTTCCCAAGTCACAGGGGGGCCGAACTAGATGACCCTCGTGGTCCATTCCAACTCTACAGTTCTATGATTCTATGAGAACCATGGTTGCCAAAGTTAAAGATCCATAAGAAGTTGTGAGGATGTGTGTGTGTGTGTGTGTGTGTGTGTAAGGGTTCCTCCCAGACCCCTCTTAATCAGCATAGGTACACTGAGTGACTGTGGGCACACAGAAAAGAGCAAAACCAAGCATACCCTCTACATAGCTACAAGCACGGAAGGATTTGCTTTGCATTCAGAAGGTCCCAGCTTGAATCAATGCATCTCCAGGTAGAGTTTGGAGGTCTGAAACCCTGAAGAGCCACTGCCAATGGTCTGACTCGGTTTAAGACAACTTCCTGCATTCCTAAGCAACCACGACCATGAAGAATATGAGAATATGGCCTTTTCCAATTTAGGAGCAGCAGACATCTCTGCAAAGACTCACTTGTTCTAGACAACAGCAGGAAGAGCTGCGTATGGTTGAGTAGAACTGAGGGTGAAAGTGGAATGAGGGGACAGAGGCAGGAGGCCTGTAGGAAATAGGAGCCAATTGAAGTGGGGCAGGACTAGGAATCTGGGCAGGGTCTAGGAAAGGAGATGGAAGCAATGGGTCTAAAAGATGAGGACTGTGAAGTTGGGCGAAGAGAATGGAAGATGAAGCAAATGTAGACAAGGACATACATTGCACCTGGCAGTCATTGTCAGCATCACCCTTGTGCCAGTGCCACCAACTGGACTCATCCACTTCAGCCCCGACTGGGCTAGGCGAGCTGGGTAGCACTTCCAGAGACCACCTTCTACACAGGAACAGCTCAAAGTGCTGTGGACTCACAGCTTAGAGTTGTGAGCACCGGATTCACTCCAACAAGAAGACAGTCGTCGCACAGCAGAGTATAGCAGAGTATAGCAGAGCATAAACCACTCGGAGAACAGCTCTGTAGAATAACTACTTTTATTCTATCTACAACTATCATACAAACTATATACAGAGCTAGATGGAGAAGCTGAACTGCACTGAGTGTCTGCAGCTGCTCTTAGCAGCAACCTTATCTATACAGAGATAACACTCTCTCTCTCTAACACTCAGTCTCTCTCTCTTTGATGTGAGGCTGGAGCGGAATAAGTAGTGAGCAGAAACTGCCCCCCTCCTCTCTGGAGAATCAGCAGAGAACATCAGCAGATTCTTGGAATTGGAGGTGTGAAATCTCCTCAGTCATCTTCCTAAGATATAGCCATGATGGGGTGGCTGGGGGCTGTTTTTTTCTGCAAAGGTATGTGTAAGAGAAGAGACCTACTTCCATCCTTTTTGTACACTTTCCTCTTTTTCAACCATCCTCATTCAATAAATCTGCTGCTGCTTAGGATAGGGCTGGCTCCAGCTTTTGTGGGAGTCCTTCAGAGTGTGGCCTCTGGAGGCCCCTTATCTTAATGGGCCTAGCAGCGATAGTAGAGGCAGCCAGCAGTACTTAGATCAGAACGTTCCTACAATTTCTTGAAACAATGTTACATCAGGAGCATTGTGGGAAATTTCAGTGGCATCTCAACACCCAGCTCTGATCATAAGTCCAGGGTAGCTATCAGTGGTGGGTTCATTTTGCAGGAGCAAACACAAAATGCTCTTCCCTTCTTCCATTCCACTTCATCTATTTCTCTGCCATCACCCTCACTACCAGATGAAACCTTTTTCATTATTATGACCCTAGAGAGGAAAAATAATTCATTTTGAGCACCAGCATGTGATTGAGTTGTCCATCAGAGAGACATTGTTTGAAGCTCTGACTTTATCTGAGTAAGCTCATGGTACTTTGGAACACAGTACTTTGGTTTCAAAGCCAGTTTTCATTTTCAGGTAGTCAACAAGGAAGGGCAATACAGACCTTGTTTTTAACTTGGACGAACAGGCAACAGCAGGGAAGGCAGATGCATTGCATACTCAGTGTTGATGTGGCGTCAAACATTGTTGGCCCTGGAACCAAAACATGCTCACCTAAGACTCTTGGAGAGTATAAACACATTCCTGCCACCAGCTGGCAAAGTGAATCTGGAGGCAACCCTGCGAAAGGCCACAAGAATGTCTCTGATGAGGAAAAGGACCAAAGCTAAGGAATTAGATCTGAGAATGTCCTTAGTGGTTAGAGACCGCAATTTGGTGATGATTAGCCAAAGCAGGTGACATATATTGTATAGCACACTGTCATTCAGACTGATAAAATTTCAGTCTGAGAAATTCAGTCTCTTGGAGTTTTTTTACAGGTGCTGGCAAAAGAAATGGGTGAGAACAGAGCAAAAATTAAAGAGAAATGAAAGGCCAGATTGTGTATCTAATTAGTAATTAATTGCTTGTATTCCCTCTTGCCTTCCCTTAAAGGTAAAGGGACCCCTGACCATTAGGTCCAGTCGTGGCCAACTCTGGGGTTGCCGTGCTCATCTCGCCTTATTGGCTGAGGGAGTCGACGTACAGCTTCTGGGTCATGTGGCCAGCATGACTAAGCCGCTTCTGGCGAACCAGAGCAGCGCACGGAAACGCCGTTTACCTTCCCACCGGAGCGGTACCTATTTATCTACTTGCACTCTGACGTGCTTTCGAACTGTTAGGTTGGCAGGAGCAGGGACCGAGCAACGGGAGCTCACCCTGTCACGGGGATTCGAACCGCCGACCTTCTGATTGGCAAGTCCTAGGCTTTGTGGTTTAACCCACAGTGCCACCCGTGTCCCTTACACTTACACTTGTGCAAAACTTACACTTACACTTGTCGCCTTCCCTTACATTTGTGCAAAACAGTAGTGCTCCAAAGCACATTTTGATTTTACCAGGCAGCTTGACTGCACATACAGGCACCCTTGCAATGGCATGTGCGGATATTTGCAACCATAGCTACAGCATGGTGTAGAGAAATCTGTCCTGTTATGCAGTCTCAGAATCAGGTTAATAAGGTTGCATTTATATATCTATCCTTGGAGTGGATCATAAGCACTTTCCAGTCCTTCTCTTGCCACTATCACCCTGTTATGTGCTAAACAAGCTATTTCCACGCCACCATTAAACCCTGCCATGCAGTGGGATCACAATAGCATTGGCAAATGTTTGCATGCAAGCGCATCATATTGAATCCATTCTAATCTTCAGAAGTTGTGATACTGCATTATTTCAGCAGTCCCTGCACCTAGTCTTTTGAACATTTCTGTACATGTTACAGGTAGGTAGCTGTGTTGCTCTGCCATTGTCGAAACAAAATTAAAAAATTCCTTCCACTAGCACCTTAGAGACCAACTAAGTTTGTTACTGTTATGAGCTTTCATGTGCATGCACACTTCTTCAGATCTGAAGAAGTGTGCATGCACATGAAAGCTCATACGAATAACAAACTTAGGTAAAGGGACCCCTGACCATTAGGTCCAGTTGTGGACGACTCTGGGGTTGTGCACTCATCTCGCTCTATAGGCTGAGGGAGCCAGCGTTTGTCCGCAGACAGCTTCCGGGTCATGTGGCCAGCATAACTAAGCCGCTTCTGGCGAACCAGAGCAGCGCACGGAAACACCATTTACCTTCCTGCCAGAGTGGTACCTATTTATGTGCTTGCACTTTGACGTGCTTTCAAACTGCTAGGTTGGCAGGAAATAACAAACTTAGTTGGTCTCTAAGGTGCTACTGGAATGAATATTTTTATTTTATTTCTGTACATGTATGTGTGTGAGAGTGAGGGACTCGGTTGATATTACATGATGGAAACCTGTTAAAAAACACCCTGCGGGTTGATTTACCTCTGGAATTTTAAAATTAGAGCTATTGATTTGATGGTTTAAATACTGTACTGTACTGTAGTTGTATTACTGGTTGTTGTACTGTAGTTCATTGGAATTACACACGCACAGTTCATACACCCAAAATGCACAGTACAACAATAAACTATATCAGGCACCCCCAAACTTGGCCCTCCAGATGTTTTGGGACTACAACTCCCATCATCCCTACCTAACAGGACCAGTGGTCAGGGATAATGGGAATTGTAGTCCCAAAACATATGGAGGGCCGAGTTTGGGGATGCCTGAACTATATCAACAGTTATTAAGGTGTAAGATCGGGCTTGCTAGTCAACAGAGAAGCTTTAGCCTGTACATACTGATTTCTGATTTTTACTGCCCCTGAGAGGGATTTTGCTAACCCCAACCACCTCCAGGGCAATGACTCTTAAGGCGAGGGGATGGTGGGGTGGACTCAGTTGATATCAGTGATTGCTTCTCATTCTGGGCTGATCAGTGCTGAAAAATCCACAAGATCCATAAGACCCATAAATGCATCAAGTGGGAGTAAAGTTGTAACAAGGTGGGAATTTGTATACTCACAAAGTTATGATTACCAGTTTTTTTTCCAGTGAATCCGGGGACACTTTTTCATTGCTTTCTTTCTTTCTTTCTTTCTTTCTTTCTTTCTTTCTTTCTTTCTTTCTTTTTTGAAGCTGAGTAGCAACAGGGAGTCAGTAGTGGGAATGGTGAGGCAAAAGACCCTGGGCCCAAGCACACATGCATATTGTATAAAGGTGCAAAGCCCTTCTTTCGCACCCTGTGGAACATAAACGTGCAGAGGTTTTTTTAAAAAAAACAACTGGGCAACTCCTGCCTGCCCGAGACTCCTGAGCCTCCCCCGATCTGTCAAAACAAAGAGGGAAGGGGGCAGGAGATCTGTACTGCCAGACGTCCCCAGTTCCCTTTCGGCAGTGGCAGTGGCAGCGAGGAGCTCCTGAAGCCAGCCAGAGCCAACTGAGCTACCAGGCTGGCTCCGGGCTGCTGCTGCTGCCGCCATGTTTCCCAGGGACAGATTTGCAAATCTGGGGACATTCCAGGGATGGAATTTGTCTGGGGACAGATTTGCAAATCCAGGGACTGTCCCTGGGAACCGGGGACGTCTGGTAACCCTAGACAAATTGCAACTGGGCTGGATGTTTCTAGCCACTGCGGCAATCCGATTCGCACAAGGCAATTTATTTTTAATTTATTTTTTAACAAAAAGGTTAACTTTTATTTGTACGTGTTTCTGGGCATACTGGATATCTTCTTCATTATTTATTTTTGATCTTAACAGTTTCACAAATGAAAATAACATAATGATGCAGCCCTCTCAGTTTCACAAGAGGCCCTCTGGATTTAGCAGCCCTGAAGCTGCTTCCTCCCTGCCTTCACAGGTCGTGTGATAGCACAGCAAGGCATCACCCTTCTGGTTGTTTTGCCCATGCCTGGTTTATTAGGGACAACAGTTTTAACCCGGCTGCAAGCTTAATTTCTCCTGAGTGCTGCTAGCAAGTGGAGGGAGAATGGGGAGGGGAAACAGCTAAGCTAGGTCCCCGGTTCTCCCCAGACAATGCCATGAAGCTTGAGGTACATGAATCAGGATTGTGCTCCGCAGGTGCTGAGTTGTGGAGTCTCCATGACTGGCACCAACAGAGCTCCGAGTTTCAATGAATAGGACTTTATGAGCAAGGCCTCCAGTGAGTGATGTAACAGTTATTCGGATGGCATACTGGAAATCATTCAAAAGTTATGGCCAGCTTCAGCACAAGAGTGAATAATGTGCACCCAAGGAGTGATAAAAATTCACCCATGAAGAGGAGGAAAATACACATACTCCAATTTTAGACGCATGGGTAATCAAAGATAGGGAAGCCCTCGCCATGATATGATCTGTTATCAGAAACCCTGAAGCAGCTGGATGATTTCTGAACTTTGACTCTCAGAATCCCATCTGGTTGCAGTGTGTAGGGGGGAAATATATTGAATTTGTTTCGTTCAGCCTCTGGACAGCTTTCCCCAGAACTCCCAGTTTAAACAGCGTGATTTGCATGTACATACTGAAAATAAGACTAAATAAAGCACCAGCTTCAATTTCTGATAGTACAGTCCAAGCGAACTGCTGCAAAGTGTATCAAACCAAAGTGCGGCAAATGGCAACTTGGGAAAACTGGGTTTCAGTGTTGCTTCCCAGAAGAACCATCTGCTCTTTGTCTACTAGCAACTGAAGAATACAGAACAATTGCTTTAATGGACAGCTAGCTTGCAACAATTTTAGCTATTGATTAGCATAGCATTACATTAATTTTAAAGGCAAGAAGCATCTGTCCTTATTATTTGTTATTTGGGATTACAGCACTTATCAGCAATTGTATTAGTTCTTCTGCCTGGTTGCTGAGTCAAGTTAAATGATGATGTACTTCCTGTCTGTGATGTTTATCTCCAGCTCAGTTCAGCAAACTCAGCGGGTCACTTCCTGTTGCTTTGCCTTTCATGTCTGGCACCTTCTTTCAGACAAGTCAATATGTTTAAATTACAAGCATACTCAAATCATGACATTTTTGTATTCTGCATCATTGCTAGGAACTTCTGTTCTGCATTTTACCATGATTCCCCATCCACACTCCTGCTCAAAAGTCGTATATGAAAAATCAGCTAGCAGAAGATGTATCTCTTGGAATGTGAGTATAAATGTTAATTTATATTCTAGATAGTGTCCCTAACTCACTACTAGGAATGGAGGAGAAATTTGGTACAAGTCACATGAGAACCTACCTAATTTTTCACTTCTTGAAAAAATACTTGGACCCTTGACATTCATATCTCTCCAGATTTTGCAATCCAACCAAATAATGTGTACAAAGATGCATATATTAGGGAGAAATGTGCATTAAAATATATAAATGAAACTAACATACAAAAGACATATTACAGGGGAAGTACCTGGAAAAATGTATATATTAAACAAGTGCATGCAAAAATGCATATATTTTTAGAAGAAATGCATACGAAATTACTGGCGAATTTAAATGAAACTTTTCCATTAAAAAATGCAAATTTGCAAAATGCAAAATGTGGAGAACTGAATTTATTAGAAAAACGAGACAGAAAGAAACTGAAGCTGACCTATTTGTCTATACCCACTTTCTCTCTAACATGGCTGTCCTCAATGCTGCCTACCTAGGTACTATTCTCTGAAGAGTGGATGATTTACATGCCTATGTGACTTTTGAAGAATTTTGGGAAGTGTAGTTTGATGAGGGTGCTGGGAATTTTCTACAAGAGTCCCCTTGTCTTCCATAGAACTACAATTCCCAGATGGATAGGACTGTTCTACCACCAATTTGTGTGTCCCTCGCAAGTACATTTTACCCAGGCGGGTGAGTTACTAAGTGTTTGGCAAACCAGGACAAAATACAGTTGAAAGGTTCCCCCTTAAACCTTATATTGAAATGGACAAGGAGTTGGGTCCACACTTTCAATATCCTACAGTAGGTTATCCTAAAGTTGTGAGTGCTCAACCATCCTCTGAGTCCTAATAAAATCAGCACTCCCCTTTTGCTTGGCAATGGAAAGCCCTGGGATTTTGAATGTCCTTCACAAGAAGTACAGTGGTACCTCTGGTTACATACTTAATTCGTTCCGGAGGTCCGTTCTTAACCTGAAACTGTTCTTAACCTGAAGCACCACTTTAGCTAATGAGGCCTCCCGCTGCTGCTGTGCCGCCGCTGCTTTATTTCTGTTCTCATCCTGAAGCAAAGTTCTTAACCTGAGGTACTATTTCTGGATTAGCGGAGTCTGTAACCTGAAGCGTATTTACCACTGTACTTTGGGACGTGGGTGGTGCTGCGGGTTAAACCACAGAGCCTAGGACTTGCCAATCAAAAGGTCGGCGGTTCGAATCCCCGTGACGGGGTGAGCTCCCGTTGCTCGGTCCCTGCTCCTGCCAACCTAGCAGTTTGAAAGCACGTCAAAGTGCAAGTAGATAAATAGGTACCGCTCTGGCGGAAAGGTAAACAGTGTTTCCGTGCGCTGCTCTGGTTCGCCAGAAGCAGCTTAGTCATGCTGGCCACATGACCCGGAAGCTGTACGCTGGTTCCCTCGGCCAATAAAGCAAGATGAGTGCCGCAACCCCAGAGTCAGTCACGACTGGACCTAATGGTCAGGGGTCCCTTTACCTTTACCTTTACCACTGTACTTTAAATTCCAGGAGGAACAAAACAAAAATCTCTTTTTGTGACCTTGAAAACACCTTTCCAATACCATCCTACTCTTTAGTAGTGCCACGTCAAAACCTGTCTCAAATTTCTGAAATGTTCTCTTCCCCCATGAAAGAGGCTTCTGTTTTCCTGCCTTATTTACAGGGCGCATTAGAATTTCTTTAGCATTTGTTGGGTACGGAGTTGAGCTCTCCTTGTTGTTGTGAGGTGGCCAGGGGCTGTGTAAGCCCTTTCCTTTCCTTTCCTTTCCTTTCCTTTCCTTTCCAGCCTCTCCAGTGCTTTGCATTCTCCCTGCCTACCCATCCTTCCTGATCGGAAAACGCTCCATGGGAGGAGTGATCATGTCAGAGAGGTCATCTACCAGGTGCCT